GGACCACGGTGGTCAATATCAAAATGTGCTCAGGCTGTGTCTTGTGAATGGTCCGAGCCACAAGGCTACCCATCACTCACACTCGGCCTGACTGGTTAACTGTTCCCACATGATATAACGGCAATAAGACATCAGTTGGCATGCTGGTGACCTTAGAATTCTCCCCTCATGTTCTTCCTCCGGTCTTATTCTCCTGGGTTGTTTATTTGATTGTACGCGCAGCATCGTTACCTATTGTTTGTATATCGGAATAAATCAATAAGATGGTCAAATCGCCCTCCCTTGTCTCTAAGGACGCTTTGCTATGACCTTGCGTAGAGGTTCGCATTTCTTTAAATGGCGCGTCCAATACATATATATTGAATTTCATCTGGAATTGATCTTCAAGACCCTACTCCCTGATGGCTGATATGTACTCTATTACCGTACGTTTCCATTCACGCAGTCGGACAGGGAAAAGGAAGAGGGTCTCCCAGTTGCCCCATTCATGGATCGTGAAAAGGTCACCAAATCTTCCGCTCAGACCGGATTTCTCAAATTCGTTCTTATCCCCATGTTCCAGACGGTTGCCAAAGTAAGATACGTTATTGTTGGACCTTTCCTGACGTGGGTTTCACGTGACGTTTTTGGTTGATGTTGTCAGAGACGTGCTCCTCTGTGAGTGTTCCATTTATCAAGTTAATCGATACTGTGGGAAGCTGATCGACATCGTGGATCCTGAGTCTGTTCATTTGAATTGTCTTAGTCAGAAATTTTGAACAGAACAAAAGACTTACGAATATGCACTCATTTGCAAACTAATTTGGTTTTTGGAGAGACTCACCTGGAACCCAGCTGAATCTCTCGTTTGTGATGTTCTCAGGGTGTATATTCGCAAATTTCGTGCAATTTGGTTTCAAATAGAACATAAGGTTGACGGAAACCCGGAGAATGCGCCTACCTGATGAGCCCCAAAAAGGGCGAAACCGATCGTGGGATGTCGACGGATTTTCAGCGACCTTATGAGTAGTACATCACAAAGAACAAAAGACGTTTAGTACCGAAGCAGGATCGGACATGTCATTCACCGACAACTGAAGGAGCTTGGGTATCTCGCAAAATTCTGGCTTAAAAGTAATGTCACGGAAGTGCAGTGGATTAGGTCGGTAGAGTCCATACTAGGATACTTTGTCTTTCCGGTTTCGATTCCCAGCGAAATCGACGCTCCTCACTGCGGCACAAAGAACTAATACTGACCAATATTTCATGCTGGGTCTGTTTTTTTTTAATTGCTATTGGATCCAGCGTTGAAGCCCTATCACGGAAAAGCCATGTGCCTCTGTTATCGAAGAAACTAAACAACCACACGTGAGAATTACACCTAGAGAACAAGATATCCTGTCCTGGTTTACTTCTGAGCAATGTTCTCTACTTTGGTAAATTTTTGCATTGTTGAGAATGTCTGTGCGGTGTCCTGTTTGTCGATCTCACTTAGTTTGTCTGATATCATTGTACAGCAAGCATGCACCGTTGAAATCACATCCGTTTTTAGCTTGACAAATCAAAGTAGAAAGAACCCAATCAACTCTTTTTTCACATATGAGGGATCTGATAAATCTCGGTTGTCAACATCTGATGGCAACACACATTGGTTAAATGGGCACAGAAGATATCAAGAGAGACTAGGTGACGTGAAAAAGCCCAGCCATCATTTTCATAAAGGAAACTACTCACAAGATTGCTGAAAACTCTTCCTCCAGTTTCAACAGCCTCCACATTTTCCCTCTTCAGATATTCCCCATCATTGACGAGATTATGGTTACTCAATTGAAAGTTGCTTTGCATCGTTACGAGGAACTTCAGGCTGAGGAAGAGGGCGAACGAAAAAAGTCAAGTGCGATCATTGACGAAGCTGACTAACCGGTTCGACTACAGTCCGATGTTTTTGCTTCATTCATAATCCATTTCTACCTGTATGTACAGGTTGTACTGTTCACTGAGAGTTTGATCCATCCATCCACTTGAGTTCTATGTTTCACCTTGTCAAGTCGTTCTATTTATCCCCATTAACCAATGGGTACAGCATGGTCAGTACCCAACATACTTAAATGGTGCTCATTTTTTGTCGACACAGTTATCCCCTCAGAAACACTTCAACGCAATGTGAGTAGTACAACTGTAAATATAAAATAGAGCAGAAACCTTCTGTTATTTACTTGCCCCCTCCACTCCATTAACTTCCACCAGAATTTCTCGAAACCCAATTTGTTTCAAAGCCTGACCTGGGTGAATCAGTATATGCGAACGTGAGCCAGTCTTTCAGAGTTTAAACTTGCCTACCCTACTGACGTGTAACCGTACTTCTCAAGGATGAACCTCAGTGAACTAACACCAAGGGACGATTAGCATATCAGCTGATTCTCCGAGGCTCGCGTCTGGTACCATGGATACCCTGGTAGTTGCCCAAAAGAGATCCCACTTCGGTGACACCTGGCTTAAGCTCCAGTTAACCCAGAACCTCTCTCTGAATCAGAGTAGAACTGCAGTTCAGCGGAACGCAGTCTTCTGATGGGTACACAGGCGGACAGCTCAGCAGTTCATTCAATACTGTGGTGCAATAAGTCCTATATCACAAGAAACGTGGTTTCAAAATTTTGTACCCTGAAAACATGTTGACTGGAATGTTTTTGGCGTACCTTTTTTTCGAAGTGGGGACTTTGTATTGTCGAATCTCTCCCATAAGCGAGCATGAGATATTTCACCTTCGCGATGTAACATGCAATCCAAAATGAGTGAAAAACCCAACTTGACTTTGTCTCAATTGCTTCAAAAAGCAGAACCAACAAGTTTCTGCTCATCACCACCATCATTATCAGATGTAATAACGCGTACTTGCTGTACAGTGGTTGTAGCTGCCACAGTTTCGTTCACCGATGACTTGGAGAGGTCGGGTAGGTAGCTCCGCATTGGAAGGGGGAGCTGATAATTTAGTGCGTAAATACAGCTTTGTCAGTGGACTTAAGTGTGGGGACTTGGAAGGAAGCTATGCATTGAAGGCAATAGTTTGGATGCACGTGCGCTATTGAGGGCGTGACTGGGCCATGTCTGACAGTGTCTCCAACGATTGATGTGGCCCGTATTGGGGTCCCCATCCAGGAAGACGGCAATGACCAGCGCAGCTGAGTTTGCTAGTACTGGCTTCTATACTTCGCTGCCAAGTCATTTTTTGACCGCATCTGGCTCTTCTTCACCCTTCACCTTGTTGTGAACCAAAACAAACCAAGGCAAGCAATAGATAGCTTCACCTGCTTGGTTTATGGTGAGTGTCTCACGTTTGAGAATGAGCCGCGTGTACTGACATCAAGGATGGTGGCAGTCCTGTCCACAAGACACTCCACTTCTTGTTTGACAAGTGCTACGAGTGTAAGGTGATTTCACTGATGGCTTCTCCGTTTGTCGTCGGAAAATTCAAGTTTGCTTATCTCAGCGAAGAATGACAGGTTAACCGAGAGAAAGCGAGTGCAAACGATGTTTGTTCAAAATAAATGGAGAAATTGTGGGGTGATTGTTTAATCAAATGCATGGTCGTTTCATGGGGGCAAAACGTCTGCAGGCCCATTGCCAACCTCGGTGAACAAATCAACTTTCAGCTGATCAACCATCAATTTTTCCAATCGTTTCTTCAGTTTGGAGAAACACAAGAACCGGTCCATTACTCGGAATTTTTCGTGAGATAGTTGTGGCTGTCTTTTAAATCTACGTATAAAACTACTTTGATAAGAAAACGAATTTTTCGTGGCTTGTTTGAGTTCGCTATCGTGTTGGGTGGAACTTCAAGTCAAGAAATCTGAGTGCTCTTGAAGGATGTTTCTTATAGAGAGATACTAATGTGCTACGGTGGTCGTGGCCTTCTCATATGTCACATTTGGGTCAATAAATTCTGGCCAAACTAGCTGAGCTGTAATCAGGCGTGAATGACGCGCTTTTCGCTCTGCGAAGTTTACGGCTACGATGAACGCATGTCGTTAGCCCGGTTGCTTTCGGTGAAGCTGATTGGCTGAAACATATTCGCTGCATGTCCACCGCTTAGATAAGGTGCCCGTATGATGAGTTATTCTCCAGTATTTGTGTTCTGCCCGCGTCAGCGATTGGCTACAAAAAGTTTACATGCTATCTATTGGTTTACGTGCTGGCCCGCCAGCACAAGAAAAACCGCAGGCCCGGTCTTCAAGTCATTTCATTCTATTCTTGAAGTGCACGTGATAGGTAAAATACACATGTGATGCAGTCGAATGTAGCATAACAACACGCTGGCTGTTGAAATAAAACCGTGAACTATACATCGTGTGTTCTGATAGAGCGGAGCAGAACAAGTACTTTAACCATGAGAGCGGAGAAGTAATACGTTGGACGTTCAGGAAGGCCAAACCAATATTACAGATGGCTTTCGGAAAAAATAGGTTCCAAATAATTTTGGGTAGCTGTCGAAATCAAATTGCCTCACGGGTTGCGTGAAACACTTTTTACGTTCGTGGATTTTCGTTTCGTCTCTGAAACAGAGCGGGGTGGAGACAGTACTTAAGTGCGCATACTGAACTACAGCATTTCAGAAGTTTTGTAAAGGCATCCTGATACTCCTCCACAAACGACCATTCAGAATTGTTTATCTATTCCAAAAACGAGAGAAATCAGAACTCTCCTAGAAACAAACTACGAAGTTTACATTCAACATGCAGGCTCGTGACGGATCCACGAATGAAAACATACAGGAATCAGGACTGGAAAGATCCCCGCTTCGTTTGGAAACATCAACACTGCAAATGACTCATCGCTAAACGTAGAAGCCAAAAGACCGACTTCTGCTCAAGTATTTATGCCAACACACTCATGAAAACTACAGAATGTTTGGCTTAGGTGAGACATTTCTGACAATACAACTGAAAATTAGCACTAGTTACATCGTACTCACGAACAATGGAGACTAGTTGCCCCTCCACAGAAAATTCTATCATAGTTGGGCGAGAGAGAGCCTCAAATGTTGCGTTGGGGTTGGCTTTTTGGGGCAGTATCCCTGACAGACGGACTTGTTGTGTCATAAGAGGGCAGCTCACCTACCTGCCTTTAGTTACAACCTGACATCTACGTCTGTCCTATGGTTTGAACATTCCGTTTGCATGTGATATTGGTCACCTGCAGCCGCCAAGACCAGCTCACGGTAACCAACCTGTCTAATACTGATTGCCCTAAGCAGTCAGGTGGGCTACGTTAAGTTGGGGGCTAAAGTTCGAATACCAAATCATTCAAATATTGGTTTATAAACGAAAATAATAATTAAAAAGTCGTTTATCTGTAATACTCTCCCGATACTTAGCTACCTTAATGAAACACGAGGGCCGGGATACTGCCAGGTTGCCAAGACAGGGGAAGTTAAGAGGCAGAGGTCGGATTGCAGATATCAGGTTTGACCCACGCCCTAATCACTGAGCCATCCCGCCGCTTATCAACAAATACCTTACTATAAATACATTAAGAAAATAATAAAACTGCACGAACTTCAAATCGTGGGATTCCAGACAATGAGTTCGGTGCTGCAATGTGATACTGGACAAATAAGTGAACGGGAAGCAGTACACTTACACAAAGTTCGCGCGGACTATAAGCAAAGTAACCGCAAGATGATGGAGTCCCTGTGTTGGATTAAACTAAACGTACGGTGACAAGATCAAGGAGCAGTTTATGTTCACTTCACCACGAGAAAGGCGGATATAGGTATAAAGCTAAAACAACAACGTGAGGAATCCCGGTGGGAGAAAAGAATCAACACCTAAATACTCGTTGAGACCTAAATGCTAGTATTTGAGGGCGTTCCTGATGGACCGGACGGTGGGATCATTGGACAAGTCCAGTGGTTATGATGGCGGTCTTTTTGAATGTCTCCCCGCTGCTTTCCAAGTTGCATCTTGTGCTCAAGTGCACCACAAAACCAAAAAGGGGCAAGCCAACTAAACCAGACTCTGGAGGAAACTCCATGAAACATGTGAACCTTGTGAGTGATCCCAAGCTACCACTGTGATACTACTAATGTGAGAGGCTTGCAAGTAGTATGCCTTCTTCTTGAAATTCGCTTTGCGTCTCTTGAAAAGGGAGATGTGTTGCGGAATTTTTGGAGTCGCTTAGAAGCATTTGCTTGGATTTGAGCAACAGTCAATGAATATCCAGGAAAGTTCAGGAAGACGCGTTCAAGAGGAGATGAATATTCAGGGTAAACAAGATGCAGGTGAGAGTTTTACTCCCCTGTCCACTAGTCTGTAACTAATCAGTTAGCATTTTCCAATAAATAACTCCGCAGCGAAAGCCTTCTAACTTTCACCACGACGCAGTGGTAAAATGAAGCAAAACAGTTGGCAACATGAACAAAAAATGAACAAACCGTTTTGCCCAACACACGCATGCACCTCCTTCTGAAACAGGGCGCCATTGTTCTTGACAATAGGCTTGCAGATGTTTCGTCCCCGGTTGAGGAGACATCGTCAGTGTGCAGTTGAGTGGGTGCTTCCTCGGTACCTAGCTGCGTTTATGTAGGTTTTGAAGAGCATCTAATATCCTGTCATGTGACTGGCCAGTTGGTATATACCTCTTGTTGCATTATTGTAGAACCGAACGTGATTTTTTGCTGCGTTGTGGTCTGTACGCCTTTTACTCCATCGGTTTGTTGGATGGCTGCTTTGGGGTGCTTCGGGTCTGTTTGCAAGCCAATTGCAAAGCCAAAGACCAACTGCCATTTGATCAACCACCACTAATGTGATATATGAATAGTAACACGTCATCACTCTAATGACTATCTAGACCAGGGTAGTAAGATGGCCTATGAATAAGTTTTATTCCCATAGTACGACGAAAGTCAATCAATCATTTTTGATGGGTCAATGAATATCGAGTTTTCATTTTCACAGCACTCTGCACTCCACTTCAGACTGGTTCTGTGCACGTATCCGGAGCTCAATCGTCGAACAAGCCCATACTCGTGTAGAAATTCCTTCTAAGACGGTGGGATAATAACTCGGGTTAAGAATAGAACAAGCAACGACCACACACACGTGTATCCCCGTCAATAAAATATGGAAAACCACGCAAGTGGAAAATGTTGTGCCTGCGTTTGGATTCACAAAGAGTTTGACGACCGACAACAAGGGAAGAAATGGTCTGTGTTCTCTCCCACCCCAAAGCAGTGCGCAAAGAAAAATCGATTTTGTAAGAGGGCAAAACACATAAAGGTTTAAATATACCTACAACTGTTATTGTAAGTAGACTGGAAGCGATCGAGTATCACTATTTTCTTCTATCGCTATCGCCATGGATCACTGTCACATTTTTGCCTGAAAAGCCCAGCAAAGTGAGGCTTCCTCTCCATGTTTGACTAGCGAGTTCAGCTGCAGAAGCATAGGGGATTTCTGGACGAGAAGTTCTTACTTTATTTAGCGGTTTAGAGCAGACTGTATCGTAGTTGGAAATAGCGACGTGAACAAAACCACACGGGTTGTTGAAATGAACACCGTTGATTGCAAGCAACTGTGCCAGTCCGACAAAAGTGACGCAGCCCAGAGGGTCGATAGACTATTTTGGTAGCCAAACAGCTATTTCGTAGACTCGACCTCATGGTATATCGTAAAACAGTCCAATAATGAGGCCAATCAGAAGTGTAGACGGCACGTTCAGAGGCGTATTCGCTGACCAATCAGAATGCAGCACCGAAAATGCACGCCACACATGACGCACCACCAAGTTGGGGAGCCCCTTAACTGCACAATGCTCTAAGGTGCAAAATTTTTTGGATGCAATAAAACTTATTGCTCCAAAATGTAGCATTTTTGCATATGTGCTCAGACAAAAAATCCATCTAATCTGCCATCAATTTTTTTTGCAAATCACTAAATTTCATTGGCAAGTGAAGCAATCATAACTCTGTCTGAACAATTCTGGTAGATTAAATTACTAGTATGACCGGGACCCTGGAATTTCTAGAGTTGGATCAGAATTTTTTGAAATGTTAATCTGAACTCAATTGCCCGTCTGCTCTGCCAAACAGCGACACGTCGTAGCTTTCTGGAATCCAATTCGATTGTGCGAATACTGAGCGGCCCAAGCTGGTGGAAATATAGGGGACGGGTCTCGGTTACCCAATTGGCGAGTAACGATAAACGGTTGATACGACCTACAATCTTGTCCTTATAGCACTGCTTGATCCTCACTGTGCCTGGTTGGAAACACTACAAGATATGGCTGCCAACCGATATCAGTGGCGTTCTTGTTGTCAGTTTCTACCCAGATCGCCTGAGTGAATGTCTGGAGGTGTAGGCACCTCGGAATGATTGTGGTTACCTAGCACTAAGTCCCTTCTCGGTCTACCTCTACTCTTTTCTTCACAATAAGGCTTTTAAATAATTTATGGTTGTTCGGCAGTGAAGCATGGGTGTTGAACACTGATGTAATGCTGTCGATGATGATGATGATGATGGTGATGATGTTGATGACGATGATCATAAGGTGCATGATCCCAGTTCAGTCTATATCGGCGGATTTTACCTTCCCCAACAGTTTCCACTCACCTATGACAACACATAAACCGCAATTATTTCAGGTAACCACTGTGAAACACGTGAGGTACAGTTCTATTTCGTTTTTGATGATTTTGTGGATGTTGTGGATGAGGCAACCGGTGGTTTTGAAGAGCGAGGTGCAATCTTTTTAGTGGAAACTGAAGAACCAGTGCTTTTGTCAGCTGACTTGTGCATGGAACGTTTTGCTGTGAAACAGCGTGCGACAAGATGTGTGACATTTAAAGGCAACAGAATGAGCACAAAGTGAATAGATAGATGGGACGCATGGGATGGGGAGGGGAAAAAAAGAGATGAACATGAAAATCGATCGAAACTCATGGTTTAAATTAAGCTTTAGCTGGTGAAATAAATCAGCCATACCCTACAATTTCAACGACCAGTGCCGCTGTGTTTAACCGAAATTCTGTTCAGGAAATCCCCATGGTGAATCAACAGTTTAGGCTCTCTACATTGGGACAGGAATAGAACGCCCGAAGGTATATTATCGAGAGGAACAAAAATAAAACGGAGGTGCTGATTTTTCTACATTTTTGTAAAAAAAATTGCATCGGGTGAACAAAGCTAACATGCTCACACAGTTTGTCACACTCTAAATTTTCAAATGAGATTTTCTCCTGTCAGAGAAGCTGATCTGCAGTGAAAGCTCGGGAACACATTACAGCTTTTTTATCCTTGCACATCTCACGTGATTCCATGTGGTTTCGAGCTTAACGGTCCAGCTATGCACGACTGATAAGCAATGTGATTAGTTCTCACTTACACAAGATAGAGCATCACTGTTATTTCAATCACGGGAACTATATCACGTGATCACATATTGACTAGCTCGGATTTGGTTGGTTGGTACTGATTTTCTTGACCACTCCGAATAACCATGTTTTGCATTAATTTGTGGTCAACTTTGCCAAAAACCGGTCGCATATATGAGGGATTAAGTACACTAGCAACAGTATTTTGGATATATAAACAGTAAAAGCCCCATAATTACTGTCCTTGAGTTGAGAAACCAATGTACACACAATGCTGCATCACAGATTGGTCGAAACCCCCCCAAGAAGGTTCCTAGTAAAAGCCTCATAATGACTGTCCTTGAGTTGAGAAACGAATGCACACACAATGCTGCATCACAGATTGGTCGAAACCCCCCCAAGAAGGTTCCTCTCCAAAATCGTACGCTATATTCGGGTATTCTTGGCCGTAAAATCCAACATGTGAGTTCTTCATTGAACAAAATTGTGAGTTAGAGAGTCAGATAACTCGGGATCGCTCTCCGCGCTTGTAAGCTACGCGGTAAAACTTACAGTCTGGACTGAAATCACACGTGCGTGCCTTTTCAGTCTAATCAGTATAGGATCACCAACGTGCACCTAACTTGACCTTCGGACAGTTGCCAAGCTTACGAGGTATTCGTCGGGGAACCAAGATCTGTCGGCTTCGGGTTAAAGCCAAACTAAAATATCATACCCGAGTTCGGACTTGTTTTCAAGCGAAACACTGAATTTCTCCAATAGAAGCACATACATCCATCACAAAATTGTGTGACAATGTCAAAACGCATGCTCAAGCTCCAATCCAAGAAGGGCACCATAATACTGTGCTATCCGTGTCGTACAAAGTACGTATGTATGTTGTTCCTGACTTTTTCTGTTCACTTATTTGATGCGCGGATAAAAAAAGACCCGAACTCGGTAGAATTCATTGCGGAAAATTTTATACTGGTTGGAAACACAACTTTGCTGAGACTCTCGCTCATCTCCGAATGAATGAACCGCAAGAAAACTGCCCCGGGTTTTATTCGGAATCCGCGATTTCGTGCACCAGCAGAAAGCTGGGTTGGTTTAGGTTTTGACGAATTTCAAAAAGGGCCAAACCGTTAGCAAGCCGCAATCGGCATCCTCATAAGAAGTGTCAAATTAACGGAAAATCTACATGTGGACCGTCATTCTAATCAAAGCATCGAGTGGCATATTCCATTCGTAAACGAGGGATTTAGTCCTGATTCATATGAGATTCCCATCATTACAGACTGATATGCACAACTACAAGTTGTTTCCGGAGGCAATGAATAATTTTCACCGCGTTTTTTACGGTTTGGGTTTTCTTCGCAAATTCAACAGAGAGCCCGAGGCAATGGAACCAAATGCGAAGTGGCGCAGTGGCCAATGGAATGTAAGCACATGTTAACTGAGTGCCATTCATCAGTTGTCTACCAAGGGTTTGCCTCCGCCCATCGTCGTTGGTCACGGCGAACCCTGTAAGCTCACCGAACAGGTGTGACTCACATCGGTTGCCCAATAAGCTGACAGCATTATGGTCCTTTTCGCCTATGGGTGAGCAAGTTAGCCATGGGCACTGTCACAAGCCTAATCGAACAGTATTCAGTTGCTGTGCGAACGAAGTAGATCTATTCGATGGCTGCAGACAAACTGTGGAAAAGCTCAGGCGAGATTTTACCTGATGCCCTGACGAATGCAACTGTAAAATGCGCGAATGGCCGCCAACAGGACCATCAGCCGCACTCAAAGTTTACCGTATAGTCATCGGGAAGCAATAAGCGTAACCTGATCGACACAACGATGCGCTGGCAAACTTCGACGCATCAGTGTCACATCGACTGGTTAGTACACGATGCGCTGGCAAACTGCGACGCATCAGTGTCACACCGACTGGTTAGAAAACGTTCAAAATAAAGATGCCAAGTCCAGCAATCAAACCTAACGACGTACGGTAAAGTTCGAAGAACTGATGACTGACCCTTTCATGATGGGGTACCCTTATAAGGCGGTTTATTAGCGACCTGCAATAAACGGAATGCAGTCAGATGCGTAGAATACGTAGAAATTTCCTTGTTATGTCCGATGACCCTGTTCCGATGCGATCATTAGAGATAACTTAATTGCAGCGAATACACTGGGTCTACTCGATACCATCCAGTGATAAAGAGCTAGGCCGAACACACCACAGATGAACCGATGCTTTCAGGTTCCATTTCCATCGCCTGAGAGAGTCACACTAAAAGCGGACTGGTATGTGCCAAGAACAATACTTGAATAGGTGACTGGCAGCAACCTGACGCGAATGGTTCTACGTCGAAAGCGGGGTCAGGAATATCTGAGTGATATGTGCGTTTTATTCTCAGACGAGAAACCGCATTGACTCGGACAAATGGACTTACTCTCTTTTGAGTCAGCACCCCCCTGAGACCGACTGGTAGACTTGGATGTTGCAACTTTACCGATGGAAGACTTTTTATCTCCTCTATCAGACTTCCCGCTCGTTTGGGATTGATTCCGCAAACTGGCACTGGCCGACTGGTTCTGCTCATCCTCGGGTACTTCGGCTGTCGTTTCGGGCGCCACAACATCGCTTGTTGGCGGTGGTTCTGCCGCAGCTTCTACCACAGGTGGTTCAGGTGCCTCAGATGACAGCGCGACTTCAGGTTCCTCCTTTGGCATCTCTTCAGGCGGAACTTCAACTTCTGGCTCTACCTGATCTGGAGGAATAAAGTTCAGTTTATTTTGGGCTTCACTGCACAACCTCTTACAAACAGAAACCAAGGGTTTTCAAAGAAAAGACAACAAACGGTGCTCCCTTTCCAACCGATAATCAAAGTGCGAAATCTTCGAACGACACCAAACAGTGAGCACTTACCTGTACTTTCCAAAACTTCTTCCATAACTTTTCAGTGACGATTAATAAAGGAACGTGAGCCAGAATCACGCACATTTATTCGGGTTGGATTGCTAATCCTAACTCTACAGCCCGACCTTGGGTCCAAGTTGCTTCAGTCACGCACTGGGATGCCACTCGCCTTTGTCAGCAGCACCAATGACATGCCGTGACAATTTGTGAGTAGTATCTGATAAATAGCATTGGTTTATCAAGGTGGTACGATTAAAAAGTGGTGGACATGGGATTTTGGTCTAGTCCAGCTCAATTAATCGTAATTGTTTCAACAACTAACAGCGGAAGAACGAATAAAAGTGAAATAACTTCATTGTTTTTGCATGGTACGGCCGGGGACTAGTGCGTTTTGGCTGCCCTCGGTGGCGTAAGTCGGCAACGCCGTCATTGGATTTTAGAAGACCCATCTTGGAATACGTTGTTCCCTCGAATCACTCTTTGTGATGCCCCACTTACACGGAAGAAAACCTCTCAGAAAGGCACAGGACCAGTAAGGGCTGGCCATTCTTTGATCTAACGATTCGCTGTCCAGTTACTAAGGGGCATCCATACGAGGTCCATCACTTCGGGGAGGAAACATGAATTCGAATCCACCGCTCAAATGAACCGTAAAATCCTGCCACAGCTTATTCAAAATGGAGACTGCAGCATGCGTAGACCGTTTCATCGGAACAAGATGGACCGAATACATTTTGATGTCAAACACACCCAGTTAGCTGCACTGGTGTACTACATCCTGTGACCCACCTGATGATATCTTTTAGTTGGTAGAATAGAACGTCCCTCTGAGATGAGACTAGGCAAGGTTGGTCTTTACTCCGAAAATTTTCAGAAATTCACTTGTAGGCAGTTTACAAGACTGTCGAGTAAAATCGTTACCCTAGTGGTAATTTACAAAATGCCACTACAGGGTGATGTAAAAGTGGCGCGTATTTGGTCCTTTACACCGTGACCTTGAAAGGTTTTAACGTCGTCATTTCTCTGCCAATCGGATTGTGGTAACCTGGAGCTGCGGTAGTTCAGTCTTCAGACTAACATGTAATGACGACGCAATGTCTTCGTTTCATCACTTCACCACCAAACCCTATTACACCTGTCGTCACTTTCCGACAGAGTACCAACATCGTTATCCATGGCTTTATTGCACAATTGGACGTGACGTGGGTGCTCATGCGTCCACCCGTGTTTTGTGACGAATCTGTTCCTGTTCGGACTGATTTGAGTTACGATTTGCGAAGTCGTTTTTCTGTAGGTTAGCGGCAGAGAATATCGACTTCTAACGACAGAGGTCAGAATTCATTCATGTTGATATAGACGAGCAGTAATCATGAGCACTTGAGGTGACCACAATTATTTCTTGTTTATAGAGTTGATGGAACCAAATAAAAAGAAGAGGGCCGTCGCTGGGGAGTCATTTATTGGAAACTGCCAACTGAACGGCTACAGACTACTGGACAGGGAAGCAAAACTCTCATGTGCATCTTGTTTACAAAAACTGAATATCCATCCTCTCTTCGAAGGCGTCTTCCTGAACCTTTCGGATATTCATTGACTGTTGCTCAAATCTGAGCAAATGCTACAAAGCGACTCCAAAAATTCCCGTAATAGATATCACTTTTCAAGAGATGCAAAGCTAATTTACAAGAAAAAATACTACTCGCCTGTCTCCCCCATCAGAAGTATCACCGTTACACTTTAAAGGTCATTCGCATGCCACCGACTTTCGTTTCCCTCCGTCAGGTCGGTTTCGGCAGTGGGTCTACTCGGCCGCTCTTCGGGTGTATCATGCCGCTTACGAAGCTGCGTCTCATTTACTCTTTGCGATCCCCGACCATCTCGAATTGTATAGACGTTCCCACGGTGGTCGGTAACGACAAACGGCCCTTGCCATTGACTGCCTAGCTTCCGCGACCCCATTCCACTCCCTCCAGAATTCTGGTGATCCTTCCACTTGACCTTCGTGCCTGTGGAGAATGTTCGTGTCTTGCTGCTTGTTGTTTTCTGCCTAATACTTTCCTGAACGGCGGTCAAGTTCCTCTTCTTTCTTCCTCTAGCTCCTACGGAGACAAGTGTGTTGTCTGCCGCAACCCACTTTCATGATCAGCCGGATTCCTCATATAAACATGATCCTTAGAACTCCTTCCTTTGCGTATTCCCTAGAAATTCCGTCTACCCAAAACTGCCATACATTTGTCCAGTGATAAACGCAGTCACGTGAATAAAAACTCTAATTTTGTCTGATAAGCTATCGCATTTGCAGTAAGCACGTGGACTTTCCTATTTTGTGTCCATTCGGATGTCGACAAACACCCAGAATTTTTTTTGACAAATGGACAGTAATGGGTGATGCTAAAAACCAGGTCACTCACTTCCTTCTTCTTCGTGTTTATCTGCAAGGAAAACGTGAGAGCGAAAATTCACGAACAGCAGATCCGCCAAACCAAATTCGACTACTCACATCGATTACCTTGAAACAAGGTCATCTCCACTTAGTAGTTGTCACAATGCATTTAAGGTCGGTTTGGCTATTCAAATGCCGAATTGTTTTGATGGAAAGGATAGTGTGTTTCTAATAGCCTTTCACAAAAAACTCATCAACTCATCTGAGGACAATCCCGAGACAATGGCCAGTGGGCGGTGCACATGGGGCTGTTTGTACTTTTCACACGAATGGTTTGAAAATTGCCGGTCCAAAAACTGGACATGCAGGTAAGCTGGCTTGGGAACCGGCAAGCAGATTGTCATCCATCTTACGTGGTGGCCCAGGCAATGCTTGAAACAGAACCAGGTTTTTCATGTTCAGTTCTCGCAACAGGCAACTCTAACACTGCACCGTGCACGTCTTTGAAGTAGCCGAACACCGATCACGCGGAGTAAACATCTTCGACGCGTGAGTGAAAGAGTCAAACATCAGATTGGAACGACAATCTCGAATGAAGAACGAAGAACGCCTCGATCGGTGGGCTGATTACTTCGAACAAGAACTGTCGTGGCCATCAGCTGGCACTAATTTAGAGCCCACAGGTGAAGGAGAACCCTGGACAATGAACGGGGAACCACCTACAGCCTCGGAGGTTTACGACTGCATATGTTCCCTCAAGCGCCACCGAGCTCCCGGTCCGGATGACCTTCCACCCAAGGATCGCGATGAAGTCCTCAGTTAGCGTTTGTCCGATCTGTTTCCTTGCAATTGGGAAACGGAGTCTGTCACAGACAACTGGGGAGAATCAGTGATAGTGCCCGTTTTCAAAAAAGGGGCCCGTAGAGAGTGCGGTAACCACAGGGGGATAAGCTTGACCCCGGTCGTAACGCGACTGTTAGTGTCAATTGTGCTTCGTCACCTTACAGTGGGTCGCAAGACACAGACTCGTGAGCAGCAAGCGCCATTCCGGCCTAGGAGGGGTTGTGTTGACCATATCTTCACACTTCGTCAGGGGCAAGAACAACGCTGTACGTATACGTGACCCACAATTCTAGTAGCTCCGAGGCGCATAATACGTATCTTGGAAGTTGTATTAGTTCTGATTGTACTGTGACAGATGAGGTGAATGCACGAATCTGCAGGGCTTGCTAATTTGAGACACCTATGGCGTCAGAATGGTTTATCCCTGAATCTGAAGGGACGTGTGTATCAAGCTACAGTACGGGCTGTTTGTTGTATGGATGTCAGACTTGGCCTATTCGAGCAGCGGAACTGAGGCGTCTTCAGGTGTTCGGCAATCGTTGTCTCAGAACCATAGCTCGTATGGGTTGGTGTCGGCGAATCCGTTAACGAGGTATTAGAGAGCGTGTTTTCATATGTGCAACGGGTACTTCCATTAAAGTATTTGTCCAGCACCAGAAGCTGTGTTGGTTGGGACATGTGTTACGTATGCCGAACCATCGTTTACCGAAGAGAGTGCTGTTTTTCATGCCCTTTTCAAAGTGGCATAAACAGAGAGGTGGCCAACCCTTGACTTGGAAGAAGAGTATGGAGGAGATCACGAAACGCTCGGGTGCTGTAGGTGCTACTCGCCTTCCAGGATGGGGCCCACGTGATCCTCACCGTGCCTGGTTGGAGACACTACAAGATATGGCTGTCAACCGATATCAGTGGCGTTCTTGTTGTCAGACCGCCTGAGTGAATGTCTGGAGGTATAAGCACCCAACAGTAAGCTAGCACTAAGTCCCTTCCCCGTCCACCTTTACTCTTTTCTTTACAATAAGGCTTTCAAATAAATCATGGTTTTACTGCAGTGAAGCATGGATGTTGAACACTGATGTCATGCTGTCGATGATGATGATGACGCGTGGTAATGCACCCCCTTTCCTACGAGTCCATAAAGAAGGTCAACCATCTGCGACAGACCCATTTTTGCAGTGATTGAGTGACAGGAATTGCGCGATAGTGAGGGTAAACTGGATAGCACGACATCTGCACGCCGGCTTTGGAGCACCAAACGGCACTTGACGGTGTCCCCCACTTTTCCGGTCGGTGGAAGACGGGGAACAAATGACACGGTTGGTACGTCTGTGAGTCTCTCACACCGGATTTGAGGCAGTCTCAACCGTAGCTGCGGCTGACCTCAACGAAAGCAGGAGGAACGTCGAGTACCTGCGATGAATCGGTGCTAGCTGAAACCTGGCGATTTGATATACACGTGAATGCTGTATGGTTTTCGCGGTGACAATGGCGATGAGGCTGCGCGATGATTCGGTATAGTTAAAGATAGTTGAAGATAGTTAAAGATAGTTAAAGGTAGGGTTAGAAACCCAAAAGCACGTTTTGGAATTTGTGCTGGAATATCTATGCAGTGGTAGGATAGAACACACACAAATTCTCTCCATATGAGGTTTCGTGCAAAATATAATAGGTACGCAAGAGAATTGTGCGAAAAGATTTTCAAGGCGAAAATACCAAATTCAAAGGCGAAACCACTTCTAACAGAAGGGTCGGATTCGAAGATTCAATGCCAGATCAAGCAGAGAAGAGGTCGGCTGGTCCTAAGTCGAAGAATGCTCAGTTGGGAACTATTTTGAGAACTCTAAAGGAGCCGATCAATTTACTCGAGCACCGGGACCTGATTAGTGCTGTTTAACGAACAAAATACTACATGAATGAAAAGGCATAACTTCCTCTCTTAATGTAACGGTACGTACCATCGGTAGGGGCTGGTTTCACTCCAGGTTCCGCTGCATGTTCCGACGCCACTTCCACCGCAGGTTCCGACGCCGGTTCTGTGGCAGGCTCCGATTTCGATTCGGCTCCTGAAATGAAGGTGGGATGAAGTGCAGAACTAGTTCCACTCTCTTTATTCGTTCCTTTGAACCTTGATAAACCACAACGAAGATGGAAAGTACGCTTCCATGAAAACTCTGATTAGTGCCAATTGAAGTGGAAACATAAAACACGTTAAACAAAGCAGTCAAACTTGGAAACACAGGTATGTCGGTATTCAGTATAAAAGAAGAGACATGCCCAGATGCCGACTTTAACCGTCTCCTCCTCTTATCGGATTAGTACTGAGGATAACGACCGCCTTCAGTCTCATGCATCCAAACTTCAGGGAAGCTAGGGCCACAAACTCAACAAGCAGAATGATAAACGTTAAGACACGAATTGGAATCCACAATGACACGTGATTAATCGTCCAGATTTCACAGCGGTAGTAAAAACAGGTAATGATGGGAAATCAGCTTCGTTCACCCGTGGTGTAACTATCAAAACGTTCGCCTCGCCTTCAGTTTGATGCTCATCCATTCTTATTGTAGCTCCTTTTTCTCTCCATGTTTGAACCCACTGTCTTCCACGTCTACTTCACGAATTCAATATTCACCAGTACTGTCTCATGAACATTTGACCCTTGACATATCGGGTCAATTTTCACGAAGATTATGCGTCCGCCTCTTGATCACTTGCGTTACCAGGTGCTGTGCACTTAAGTTTGTCGTCAATTCAGGTCGATTTGCCCTTTGTTCCGGGCTTTCTGTGGACTTGCGCTAATTTGTTCAACAATTTGGACAAATATCCCCAAAATTTGAGGTTTTTATCCGTTTCATGTGTGCGTTTTTGTACATATAGTACCTGAAGACCTTGCAATTATCGGCTTGCGATTTCGCGCCTCACTCAGACGGG